ATTGTGGGAAAATTCTACTACCAGTCCTTCATCACCTTACATGAAATAGGGTGAATACATCTCATTGTATTTACCACTTTTGGGCCGGAAATTAAACTTTTGGTCCTTAAATCACTTTAAGAGCCCTGGGCTAGCCAAGTTACCATTCACGAATTATTGATAGTCTCGAAGCCTACTACCTGGTACTACTTCAAAAATCTTTGGAAAGCATCGAACAAATTGCCAGACAGCAAATCACCGAACGAGCAGTTTGGATGCAATTGAGCATCTTAATAGAATCAAAACAAGTGCTCCAATGTCGTGATTATGGTATGATTGCATTTAGCGTGTATACGTCATCAATCCAGCATTTTGGTAAGGCAACGCATAGGCACCAGAAACAAGTTTGCCTTTTTGCTCGATTCTTCTTCATTCGAGTCCCGCTGGAGATTCTAACGAAATCGCCTAGGTGTCTGGGAAAATAACTCTACTCCGGTTGGCCTGAAGTCACGAGAATACGGGGGAGGCATCTTCTGCCTTTGTAGCGACATTTGATCAGTGATGGTTTGTAACACACCAAACGCAACCAAGTTGGTCGGATTACACTCTTTATCCCGTGCCAACAGCTGCCTCGGGAGACTTGACGTATGGGGGACCGGAGAAATCCGAGTGGATCCAAACAGGATGCCAGGAATGACACTAAAAGCGCACGTATATTCAAGAGATTATTTCATCTTATTACAGTTCTTATGAGTGTTCAGGTTGGTGTGCTGAAGAGCTGGCCGTATCAAGGTATGCTCCAGGCAATAAAGAAAAAAAATACACTCCGTTAGAATTAAGGTCTGAAGCATTTTGAAAAAAGTCAAGCATCCGAGTGATTTTTTTCGAAAACAGGCAAAATAATATTAAAAGCACTACTTATAAGCATTTTAGTAGTGGAATATGCAAAAAATACTTTATCAAGCGGTCATACTCTCCATTTCTGGTTAGACAGCTTAACATACGTCAATGCTTGTAGGCGACGTTGTTTAGAACGAGAGTGTATTTTA